TTTATTATTTTCTTGGCTTTCAAGTATATAATAACTTCAGCGCAAGTGATTTGACAAGCCAACGTACACGATTCTTATAATTATGCACAACAGAAGCGCAAGACTACAGGATAAAAGCTTCTGTGGACATAAATAGCAGCGGCGTTTTGAAACGGAGAGAACTAGCATCCGGCCGAAAGCAATTTTGAGTCTAAATTTGTATATGTCGGAAAAGAAACTCGTTTATTACAATTGAAATTTAATATTAAGTAGAACAGCCTCGATGAAACTTGTAACGAATAAAAATAGCCTCGGTGAACCTTGTAACGTATAAGAATAGTCTCGATATTTCGCAATCCATGATCGAAGTCCATAGTTTGTTTACTGAACCAAATAAGAAGAAAGAACGTGATATTTTGTAATAATGCTTAATTTAGGTACTTTACATCGTTGTGAACTCGTACACGTGATTCCCGGAAAATTACTGCCTCGTGTGGCAGAAAACGTCTGTAAAACGTAGGATTGTTAGTTAGTTCGTCTGATCGTGAACGTGATAGTAGTCAGATCGTTGGATTGTAAGAACCGTAGAAATAGAAAAGTATACAGTCCTCTAGATTGTTGATTGTACCAGCGTACGGGGCCGTAAGAAATCCCCGACAGTGTAAGAGTTCTTCCTGCAGAGAAAGAGTAAAGATGGAAAAGAGGAATCGAAGGAGATTCAAATATCGCTAGAAGACTCAGTTAGAGAAACACCAAAGTAATACTTTCATTTTACCGTCGATTCACTTCTTACTAAACGATTTAAGGGAAAATGTGTTCATGGATGCTATACATAGTGTAATAAACAAGTCATTAGGAACTTTTTCAGTTCCTTCTCGTACTTTTTATGTGATAACGTTCATTCGTTTGTCAGAAGTGGACTAGTAACACCAGCAGAAATTCGCAACTGTGACCTCCCCCCCTCTTTGAAAAATCCTAGGTATGCCCCTGAGTTCTGCTTGGTTCAAGTGTCCTGTGATGTCGAAGGAGGCAGAATTCTGATACCTGTGATTTTCCAAAACCAACATTAGGCTATCAAAACACACTTGCACTTCGAGCAGGACCTGCAGTGCTATTCACTAGTAAGGGGCTTCCCAATGCATTCAGATTTGACCAAAAAAGCAATTAAACCCGGATTTAGAATTTCGCACCGAGGCCTAAATTGGCAATCAGGTTGGATTATATGACCACTATACCAGGCCGAGTTAAATTAAATTCTACTTTACAGCGCTAAATACCTTGGGTGGAAAGGCCGAGTCAAAAAAGTCTTCCAAGACTTCCCGTCGAGTCTAATTTGGAACTTAATTAGAATAAGAGTTACTTTTGCTTTCCTCAAGAGTGTTAGTAGCTTTTTCTGAAGTCAGTGGAAACAAAATGTTAAGATTATTTACATTCATATTCTAATAGAACATTTTTTTTTACGGTCGAATTTATCATCCAAAAATCAAATACTGAAATAAGTGTACCAAGAACGCAGTCTGAAAGATGCTAAATTGGAAGTTCTTTACAAAGAAAGGAAAAAAACTGATGTGATGAAACGTAAAGATCTTTATAAACGTAATAGGATTTGTTATTTGCACACACAACAAATCATGTGAATCAGTTTGTAATAGACAATAATTTACCACGTAACCACGTTGGTCGAACTTTCTGCCACAAACTTTTATTTATAATTAAAACAAAGCAGCATGTGATTTCAACACTGCAAAAAGAGACATCTCTAAAAAGTCTAGAGTCACTATGCATTTTGTGGGATGAGTAATCCAAAATTTAAAGTATTTCATGACCAGTTTTTGCCACTGACAAACTCCAAAATTTATAGTCAACTTCGTCTGCATCTATTTTGGATTAATTTGTATTGCATTACATTTTCGCAAAACTTAATCTGATTAACACGTTGCCTTATGTGAAATTGCCGTTTCCAAATAAACCAAGGAGATCTTATAACTTCTCAATTTGCTTGTAGCCATTGAAGTGGCGTAAGAGCGATCGTGTGACGTCACAAAGTGGGAAGATAAGCTCAACACTGAATTAAACATCGACAATTTTCGATTTGCAAATTCAACGTCTGCAGGCGTTGCTACTCCAAATTAATATTTACGGTCGGGGACCGAGGTGCTTAGATGTTGTTTGTTCGACGAAATCTGTAATTGAACTGCACACAGCCATGTACAGGACCAGGTTGGATAGAGATAGATTTTATCAGCCTTACTCAAACAGATCAACGACTGACGCACAAGCTAGCCGCGCAAAAGATGTAGTCCGACTGGTTCCTGAGATATATTCAGACGGTATTTGTATGTACACCCTGGGTCCATCACAAGTGTACACCTACCAATATAGCATGAAGAAAACGTCCACAAAGACATATATTTGCGAGTTACTATTCTACCCGAAAGTGGTGAATAAAAAGCACATCTCCGTTTTAGTCCACTTCCCCGCAAGGAACAACGCTAAACCGCATACTTATTACAAAGATGTCCTATGTTTTGTGCCAAGGTGCTTGGACCACTTTCAGACAAAAAAGATTGTGACCGAACCAAGACTTGAGGAAATCTACAAAACAGTGCTGTATCATCAGCCTCCGAAGCGTGTACGGGAATATTCATCTTCTTTGCATATGGTACCAAAAACGTTCGACACTGTTCGATAAATGCTGTATCTTGTATCTGATTTCGTTCGTCGAAAAAAACTAATATTAAATTATTCGTTTTTTACAAATGAGAAGCATCCGCGATGTTTTGAAAACTTTTGCCAGTGATTTCATTAATGATTTATCTTATGCCGCGACATTCATTTTTAAGAAGGATCCAACCGAAGATTACGACTGCAGGAACAAAGTCTGAAATGGTAGCTAGCGACCACTTTTAATGATAAATCAAAAACATAACCAGCCGAGTATTTACAAACGACTCTATTCCTTTAAGAAGACAACGAAGTAAATTTTTAAAAATTTTTACTGATTTTAAATTTTATCATTACGGGAATAAGTCTAAGGTAGTGGACGGTGTTTTCCGAATACAACGCGAATAGAGCGGTCGTTTCGTTCTCAGCATGAAAATCTTGTAAAATACGGTATACTATTTAAAAAAATAATCTGTATTTTTCCGTAAAACAACTCTACTATAGCTATGATCTGGATAAGAAAACAGAGAAAAAAAATTTGGCAAATAATACAAACAAACTTGGCAACCGTGATCTTCAGTCGCCAATAATTTGCATTCGTCTTAAACCATACACTCAATATTCGCGCGCTTTTAATTTCAGAATATAATACTTGTTAGTGGAACCGATGTCCCAGCGATAAACTTAGCTTTTAAAATAAAAACTGTTCAATCGATTTTTGACTAGTATCTTCACATTAACTCCAAAAAACGTTAAATTACGAACGGTAGAGAAATTCCTGCTAATTCCAGGGAAGTTATAATTATTCAAAATTAAAGAAAAAAAGCGGAAATATTAAGATACACCTGCATAAGCTTTGTGTAACGAGCCTAGTTTTTCAAATGCAAATAGAAAAAACACTTCTCACTCAAACATGTTTGTCACCAAATAGTATAATTCTCTTTTCTCCAGATGCTCCCTCGGTTAGCAGCACGAATCAACACGAACAATCTTTGAACTGTGATTTACGCGGTGTTCCAATCCCTGAAAATAGACTAGGATAACAAACAGAGAAAAATATTCCAAAGAAAATATTCTGTGGAAAGCTCTGGATTTGTAATGGTATAAATAAATCTTCGAGGCATTTTAAACAACAATAGGAAACCATTCATTAGATTTTTTTAAAGAATCATTTGCACAATGTCATTCCAACTGAATATAGTTGCATTTTAAACTTCTTTTTTGCCAAGAACTGGAATTAGGGGGTTAATGGAGGAGTCCTATAGCAGGAATTTAAGAGCATGTCAGGATGTTTCATTTGTCATTTTTACTTTTTCAGACCACAGAGGGGGGGTCACATGCGTCCTTGAAACCCCCTCTTCCACCTTAACGATGCGACAGCCCATGCGTAAACAACCTGTGCCAATGACCACCTTGTAAAGTACCCATTCGGAAGCAAAGAGTCAAAATCAGACTCTGCATTTTGATGAGAATACGAGTTTTGCGTCGGTAGCAGATTCTAAACTGGATCAGTTAAACTTTCGCCGCAAGGTTTTAAAAGACGAAATGAGGCCTCTTTTTATGAAACTTCCAACAGTGATACGAGTGCACTAGGTTCCTAGAGTCCGTTTTCTTTGTTTTGTTCTACAAAACGTAACTGTTGATAGAGACTACAGTTTGGACATGCTCCGTAGCCCACCACGGTACGATCCTTTATTTCCGTCCTTGCCTCAACAAACAGAAGCGTAAGCGAGATTTTCCTCCTTTAGCGTCCTACAAGCGGAAGTTGTTGTAGCAAGACAGGGTGTTCGTTGATTTTCCAGACAGAAATGGATCCCACACATCCTTTGACCCCTTCAGCCCTGCCTTGGATAGACACAAAATTACTGAGATTTGGGCAGGCTTTGCCAGACGACTTAAACAAATGGAAACCCAGTTCCATCTTGATTACAAATGTAGCATGTGTATCGGAACTGATCACCGTGGGTGAACAGCGATGGTTGAATCTTTTAGATAGTCTGCTATGGCGTCTAGTATCTCCAGGAGTAGATCTCGGCTTAGTCTCCTGAGATTTGGAGATTTGGCGACCTTCAGTGTGAAGCGGAAGGAGATAAAGCAAAATCATTTTACATTGAAAACATTTTCAAATGCACAATAAACCGAATGAATTGTTACAGGAAAACTGGAAACCCAATAAATTACAATTGAAGGATGCGGCTACCAGGAGAAAATTATGAAAAGATAAAATGATGAAATGATGAAATGATGAAAAAGGTGAAATGATGACAAGATGAAATGATGAAATGATGAAATGATGAAATGATGAAAAAGGTGTAATGATGAATGATGACATGATGAAATTATGAAAAAGGTGAAATGATGAAATGATAAGAAAGGTGAATGATGAAATGATGACATGATGAAATTATGAAAGGATGAAAATACAGTAGTTAGCAAGGCGACAGAATGCACTAAGACGTTAAATAGTAGTTACAATTATAACTGTGAAATGTTCAGCAGGCAACCGTGGACGATACTCCTACTCTTGTACGTTGGATCAGCGATGATCTGATCGGCCCAAAATAACGAATATGAAATATAAATATATTTCGGGTGGCCAAACCAGCCTTCTTCAGGTCTGCACCTGAAGAAGGCTGGTTTGTCCAGCCGAAATATAGTGCTCCGTCTTAAAATTTACTTATCTACGTTGTATCGGTCTTGCCTCTATATTTATATTACAATTATAGTACTATCTTAGCCAACTACGACGGTAAAAAAGGAGCCATAGGAGCTGGCAGCATTTAAAGCTGTTTCGGCATCATCAAGTCTCCTAAGTTGACAAGATGGACTATGACTTTCCACGGAAAAAGATGGAAAGAAACAGAGTACGGGATAAGTTTGGTCTATGCCCTTGCTTGTCTCGTAAACTTGTATTCTATGGAGCATTATTCTTGGAGCTTTGGTCACTGAATTTTCGCCAGCATACAGGTTATATTGGAACTATTTCCAAACGCGTTTCCCTTCTACATCTCAGCAAATGCAAAGTCTAGGATACCTTCACGAAATGTCCAACCACAAGATCCAGAGCATGTTTCTTCATGTCCGCAGCCCCAATCCTATGAGCCGCCTCAAGAATCTGTTTGAAATAAGGAAGTAAGCGTAAATTAATATAACGGAATTATTGTTACTACACCTGGATGGAACGTCGATAAATCAAGTAGAGACTGATGTCAAAACTTAGTTAATGGATACCGAGATACACAACAAACACTTGGGCACACAAGTTTCTGTCAGACATACACTCCCTTCATTATTAAATAAAAAGACAGAACGATGCGACTCTGCAGACTGAAGCCATTACATGATGTATTGCATGATGTATGTACCGCTGTCCATGGTAAACTAATTCTACAATACACCTCTTATTTACCTGTTTCAGGTCTCAAGGAAATTCTGGTCTTTATCTTTTGTAAATTATGCATGTGGACGTGAGTAAGAGGAAATTTGAAAGAAACAGTTCATAGAGGATTATGTTACATTATATGACTTGAAATAAGTAAACGAAACGGGCAAGCTTAAGGTCTATTAGTCTGTACCAAGGCCAGAACTCAAACCCATGATTCGTTGATTCCACTGAATAACAACAATGTGTGTTTTCTTACCTCGACCACATTTTCAAAGGACACGTTCATTTCAAGGTTCTGTTTACAGAATGCCTATGAAAAAAATTTGATTGACCCCTCAAGTATCGTAGAAATGAATATACCATCTTAAGGTTAATTTTACAGTTTATCTAACGCCTCTACACACGAATCCCCTCATGTAATCTTTCCCAACTACCAAGAGCTTTCACCCTGTATTTCAAACACTCACGCCGAAAACTGCCAATAACTATAGTTTCTGGAGCTTACTTCTCCTTTATAATAATAGTAATAATAATAATAATAATAATAATAATAATAATAATAATAATAATAATAATAATAATAACACATTTATTTAGACACGATAATGTTTAAAGCTAAACAGCTTGTGGGGTCGTGTGTAAGTCTAAATAAACTCTAAATTAAATAAATTCAAATGATGATGGTTTTTGAGGAGAGGGGAAAACCGGAGTACCCGGAGAAAAACCTCTCGGAGCAGAGTAGAGAACCAACAAACTCAATCCACTTATGACGCCGGGTCCGGGAATCGAACCCGGGACACATTGGTGGAAGGCGAGCGCTCTCACCACTACGCCAACCCTGCTCCCT